ATTCTGCCTTTAAAAAAAAATGAAACGCAACAAAACTACCAGCTGGGATTTAGGGGCAATGTTTGCTAGGCATGCACAAGGCCCAGCCCTGTCAGATAAGTTGTAGTTCCCTTGTTTTCCCCAGGAGGAGCTCTAGTAGAAATTCCAGAAGCTGGAGACCATGCTTAGTAGCTTATGCCTGTAAATCCCAGCAACTCAGGAGAGCTCCATAGAGGTAGGATTCTGGTCATAGGCTGGCTCTGGGCAAAAGAGAGTTTATCTGAAAAACAAATCAAAGAAAGTCTAGAAGTATGTGGCTCAAGCTGTAGAGTGCTTGTGGTCCTGAGTTCAAAACCCTAGAACCACTCCCCAAAAAAGAAATTCCATAAGTTAAACCAAACTATGAACCAAAAATTGCACTCAAATTATCACCTCTTAGGAAGAAGTGAAGGACAGTATTGCTGCTTTACACATAATGTGGGGGTCTTTTATTTTTACTTTTTTCAAAACTAAACAGCTAAAAGAAACACAAAATGAAGACCACTATAAAAAAAAAAGAACAAGCCAGGGGCTGGGGCTCACACCTGTAATCCTAGCTACTCAGGAGGCTGAGATCTGAGGATCATGGTTTGAAGTCAAGTCTAAGCAGGAAAGTCCATGAAATTCTTATCTCTAATAAACCACCCCAAAAAGCCCAAAGTAGAGCTCTGGCTCAATCACTGGAGCCCAGAGTTTAAGCTCTGGGACAGGCACACAGGCAACTCACACACATGGACTGGCATGACACACAAATTCAACTGGTGTGAAGAGGATAGATAGGGACACCTGGAGATTATAGGTAGGCTTTGCCTTCTTTGCTAATGGTCAGGGAGTGACAAAATGCAGCTATGTGAACTTCCTGGAAGATATGGGTGCATGCAACAGTGATTGAGCATTTGTTTTATATAGTTTTTCATTATTGACCAATGTCACTTCTCACATCAAAAAGCAAAATCACTTTAAAGTATCTTATTCCAATTCTGCTAGAGAATGTTTGTGGTTACAGAAACATAAAAATTAAACTATAATTCACACTTACTCATACTTGTCAAAACTCTGTGATATGGATGGTATAATTCACATTTGCAAAAGATTAAAGTTATTTCCAATAGTAGCAGGAAAGGAAAATTAGAAATTCCATTGCTAAGCCAGGCGCCTGTGGCTCATGTTTGCAATCCTAGCTGCTCAGGAGGCTGAGATCTCAGGATCACGATTCAAAGCCAACCTGGGAAGCGCAGTCTATGAGACTCTTATCTCCAATTAACCACCAGATAACGGGAGTTGGAACTGTGGCTCAAGTGATAGAGCCCTTACCTTGAGCTGAAGAGCTCAGGTACAGCATCCAGGCCGAGTTCAAGCCCCATGATCAACCAAAAAAAAAAAAAAAGAAAGAGAGAAAGACAGACAGGAAGAAAGAAAGAAAGAAACAAACAAACAAATTCTACTGCTAGAATAATATAATTCACAGGACAATTTCACGAGTCCTTTATTAAGTTCAATACTGCTATTATATCAATTGTATCAATACTCCTACTATCATCTTAACTTTATAAACAATTATTTCATAAAAGTGTTAATTGCTTATGATGTTCCGTGCAAATTAACCACACTCACTTTACAGAACTGAAAATTTCAGAGTAAACTGTATTTGTGCACTGAAGTTTTCTTAGTAATTATGTATTTTAGTTCAGAGTATAAAGTGAAATTTGGAATATAAACACTAAAACCAAATTTACTTCATGAACTTTATATAATGGGCTTTCATTTTAAAAAATGCCTATACTAATCTGTATAGTCTGCTTAGCAGTGTTGCTTTTTGTTGACAAATACACTGAACTGTATATAACAAATGCATATGTTATATTTTCAAGTCATATTTAAATTCTTTGCAATGCAAACTTTCCCAAGTATTAAAAAATACTAGATCTGGGCTGGGAAGGTGGCTCAGTGGTAGAGCACTTGCCTTGCATGCTCGAGGCCCTGGGTTCAATTCCTCAGCACCACATAAGAAAAAAGCTGGAAGTGGCGCTGTGGCTCAAGTGGGAGAGCACTAGCCTTGAGCTGAAGAGCTGAGGGACAGCGCCCAGACCCAGAGTTCAGGCCCCACGACCAGACCTCTCCCCCCCACAAAAATACTAGATCTGCTAGCTGTTTAAGCGATTCATTATGAAATTAATGTACAGTTTTAAAACTCAAGGAAGACTTGGATGCTGGTGGCTCACACCTTGTCTGTAATTCTAGATACTCAGGAAGCTAAGATCTGAGATTGAGGTTCAAAGCCAGACCAGAGAGAGAGTACATGAGACATTATGTCCAGTTACCCAGCAAAAAGCTGAAAGGGAAGTGTCACTCAAATGGCAGTTAGCCTTGAACAAAAAAGCAAGAGCTTGAGGACCTTGAGGTCATAGTACAACACACACACAAATCAAGAGCAATGTAAAAGCAATTTAAATTACATGTCATCAATTGAAAGAAATGAAAATGAAGCTCTTCACTTAGAAAAGAACAAGTCAAAAGTTCAATTCAGAATGAAGCTAAAGAAAGCTACAGAGAATTACAGAAACTAATGGGACTATTCTCTAAATTACGAACTAAAAAACAAAGCTACTAAGAAACAAAAGCCACTTGGAGGTAAGCCCTGGGGAAACTACCTTGCCACATACACTAACTAATGTATTTAATTTTGACCCAGTGACAATTCAAATGGCATAAGGTAAGCAGTACTGGTTTGTCTTATTAATGTTCAAACTTCTGCCTTATTACCTGCACTGAGGTAAAATTATTCCCTTAATATTCTCTCTCAAACTCAACAACTGAGTACTTTAACCTGTGTTAAAATAACTAAACTCAAACACTTTAAAAACCAGACAATATTGAGCATGAACTGATTGGTATTCTGTATAATTCTTACAATGGACAAAATATAGAATGACATTTTGTGTAACTTTGTATCCTGCAAGACACTTAGCACACATCCTAAAAATGTCAGATGCTTGAAGTACAAGTCCTTCATCACTTTATAGTTCTAGTCTGTGTTGCCAAAACAAAACTATATGGCTTTGCAAACTCCAAAGGACCTAAACATTACTGATGCTTCACAGAATACATTATTGGTTAAACTTCTAAGGTTTGCTTTTATTACCATCTGTAACGCTTTTTTCCTGACACTGGCACATTGTGGAGAAGCAGATTCAGTCAAATGTGAACTTGAGAACTTGCCAAAGAAATTCAAAACTTAAATTTCAAATTTTTACCTTAGTCAATTTTACTACCAACCTTAATTTTGAAACTAACGTAATTCCCAGGAAGATAACTGGTGGAAAATTGGTACTAAGATTAAGCAAACCTTTTTTTTTTTTTTTAATTCCCTCAGCTCCAGGAAGCAAGGGCATTTTACATTAAAAACAAAAAAAAATTAAGAATAAAAAAGTCACTTGGTAGTCTATGTAAGAGATTCTTAAACAGTTTCCCCGTCCCCCCAAAAAAAGCCAAACCAAAACTGGTAAACCATTATCAGTATCAGGACTCCCATAAAATGAAACGCTACACAAAATGATCCTAGCATGGAAAATCAGGACTTGCTCCCAAAGTGCTAAAGCTTTTCCGGTTGCTAACGTGCTCCACTGGGCATCTGCGATACTGTCACACAGTCCTGACATTCCGGAAAGAAAAGGGAGCCCCACAAAGTTTCACGGAGCCATTGGGGGGGGGGGGGGGTCAAGCTCAAAGTGCCAAAGTATCTTCTGCTCCGGAGTACCTGCCACCAAGTTTCTGGGCTGGCTTCAATTAAGTTTAAAACAGCTCAAAAAGAAAAAAAGAAGGTAGCATGGTTTAAAATAAAAAAAAAATAAAAAAAAAAAAACAGGGAGAAGCGGGAGTGAAATAAATGGAGAAGCAATCCTGCCAGTTTGTCTTTCCAATCAACCGTGCCCTCGCAGTCGGCCCGCCGAGCCGCGGAAGGAGAGCTGGAAGGACACCCGCTCCCACTCTCCCAGGCGTGCGCACTGCGCGCAGAGGATGAATGAATGGGAGGCAAGCAGGCGCGTGTGAAATGCAGCAGGTCCGGCCGACGACCAGACCCGCAGCCGCGATCGGTAGGCCTCGCTCCTCCCCCTTCCCTCCTCCATGACAGCCCAGTCCCGAGCACCGAGGGGCGAGGACAATGTGATCCCCCCCCGCCTCCCTCCCGCCCGCCCGCCCTCCCGCCCCCGGATCACCACCCACCCTCAGCCAACTCGCAGAGAGCTCCGCCACGCGACCCCGGGGGAGGGGGGGTTCCCTCCTCCACTTCAAACCTTTCTGGCCTCCCCGGCCGCCAGCCCCGGCAACTCTCCGGCGCGCTGGAGTAACATGCGCTCGCCCCCCCGGTCGCCTTCCCCTAGGCGAGGTCCAAGCAGCTGCTCCGCGCGCGTCCCGGCTCCACTCCCGCCTAACCCACCCTCCGGCCCCGCGCGCCCACCGGCTCCCCCCCGGCCCACCGGTCTACGGGCGCCTCGCGCGCCGCCCGCCCCCGGGCGCGCCGGAGCCGGGCGCGGGGAGGGATCGGGAACGGGAGTGCTGCCCCCGGGGCTCCCACCTCCAGCCTCGTTCCAGGCCGGCTCGCCGCCCACCCTCCCCGCCAATCCCGGTGCCCGCTCCCCGCCGGGCACGCGCTCACACCGCGATCCCCAAAGCCCCGAGCCGCCGCCGCCGCCGCCCTGCACCTGGGTCTCCCCCCCACCCCCCCCCCGCGGCCCCGCCGAGCCGCCCCTCCCCCCCCGCGCCCCGACTCCGCGGCCCCCGGCGGAACGTGTGCGCTCCACGCCGCCGCCGCCGGGCACCCCGAGCTGCCCGCGGAAAGGTCAGACCCGAGAAGAGGGGGAGGGGGCGGCCGAGAAGGTAGCGTGCGCGCCGGGAACGCCGTCCCGCGGGGGTGCCCCGGTCCGAGGGAGGGGGACGGAGCGCGGGGACCCCTGGGGGTGGGGGCCACAGGCCATACTCACCGGTTCCACAGTCGCCATCTTAGATCGATCTGATCGCACAACCGCTCCTGAAGGGGGGGTGAGAGGAAAAAAATGAGATTCAAACCGGATTGGCCGGCTATGGCCCACGTGACCGACGTGTCCGTTTGGCCCTGGCGGCGCCTGCGCAAGATTGCGGCTGCGTAGGGGGGGGACGAGAGGCTTCTGGGAAGTGGAGTCTCTCCTTCCCCCCCCCCTCCCTTCAGGCCGAGAAGTTGTTTTTTTTTTTTTCTTTGAGAAAGGGCCGGTCACGTGGTCGTCCGGGGTCTCGGCGGCGGCGGCGGCGGCGGCGGCGCGGGTCTCGGCGCCGCGGGCGCTCGCGTGCTGCGGGGCGTGGAGTTCAGTCCTCGGCTCTTGCGCCCGCCGGGCTGCGGCGGCTCTCACGGCCGGGCATGCCTCGGGTGCCCTTGGTCGCCCCGTCCCGCCATGGTCGCCCGGAAGGTCGGGAACTGCACCCTCAGCACGCGCGGGCAGGCTTCATTGGCTTCGCGGAGGTCTTCGGGCCGGCGGCTGGTGCGTTCACTTCGTGTGCTTCTCGCCTCCCACCATCTCCCCCCCACCCCACACCCCCGTGTGTTTATGTTTTTCCGGTTAGTGTCGGACGACGAAGGCGGCGGCGGCGGCGGCGCTCGGAGGGTGGAGCACGCCCCGCACGCGGCCCTCCGCCCCGGCCCCGGCCCCCGGGCTCGGCTAGCGCGGGCGGCCGCTCGGAGCCATCTCTGCCCCCGGGGCTGGGCGGGGCCGCCCGCTGAACCCCCTGGCCGCCGGCCGCGGGACGGGGAGGGCGCCCGGGGCGGGCAGCTTTCCCTGTTCCAGATTCCGGAGACTCTTAAGACCTCAAGGGTGGATCTCGCTGGAAGAAGTCACACTTTAGTTTGGAAGTTCCCGTCCAATCGGATCCAGGTGCCAGCCCGGGAAGCCACGCCGGGGCCCCGCTGACTGCGGCCCGGGCTGACGGTCAGCGGGCGTGAGGCCGGGTCGACTGTGACTCCGCGTTGACTCACGCTCCTCGGGCGAGTGACTCAATCGCGCGGGGCCTGGGCCGGAGGCGATGGCACGCTTCCCTCCCGGGGGTGTGCGGGGCTGAGGACGGTAACCTGCTTTGAAACTGCATCGGACTCGACCTGCCTCCCAGGGCAGCCGCCGCTTCCCCGCCCGCGGTTGGGGTTTGGGGGTGTTGGTTTTTTTCTCCCCCCCCCCCCACAATGTTTTTCAATGTTTTTTTAAGGGTTCTTTTGTTTGCTTTGCTGCATTATCGTGGGCACCCATGCAAAACGTCTCGAGGCTGTTTGTGTTTCCTGACAACCATAGCTACTTTCAACAGGCTGTAAAATACATATAAATGTATAATATGTATTATATATATAGTTGTTTTTTCACCGTAGCCACAGCTACTCACACCAGCATGCTACATTTTTCTCTCCTCATGTGGTCATTTCTCAAGACAGTGTGAACTCTGCACCGTCTGGTTATGAATACAACAGAGATGCAGAGATCTGGCAGGGTGCTTCCGTAAGCTCTCATAAGGAAGACCGAATCTCATGGCTATTTCCCACGCTCCCTAAGAATGCTAACACCAGGAAAACTGTAGGAGCAGCTGCCTGGGCCTTAATGCTGGTGCTGATGTCCAGAGCTGTGTCATAGCTATTATTGAGTACATAATGGAGGCTTGGGTTGACTAACACATAATTGAGGCTGTATAAGAACTCAAAGCCATTGCCTGTTCGTGTGTTTTGTTTGAACAAGGTGGTACAGGTGACTAATGAAAGCTTTGGTCTGGTCACCTTAGCTCCAGTAGATTCTAAAGTAGATAGAATTCTAAGAGGTAAATAGTTACACTGTCCAAAGTAATTACTGGTGACTTATGATATTTTTCTGCTGGTGAAAAGTGATGCCTGCTTAACTTCTACAAAGAGAGAACATAATCTTTAATTTCATGAAGCTGCTACTTCACAGAGCAAAATTACCAGATGGCAAGCTGGAGAGTCTCAGTTCGGTTTCCCAGAACTGTATGAAAACAGTGGAACCATGAAAATCGTCTAAAAAAGGGAAGGGGATAAGAGTGATACAATTAATGTACACTAATGAGGGAGTGATCCTTAATATTGTGCTGTTGGTGGTAACTTTAGATATGATCTAAATCTCTACTTAACACTACATTTTCAACCTTATTCATTTTTTTTTTGTCTGTCGTGGGGCTTGAACTCTGGGCCTGGGCGCTGTCCCTCAGCTCTTCAGCTCAAGGCGAGCGCTCTACCGCTTGAGCTACAACGCCACTTCCGGTTTTCTGGTGGTTTATTGGAGATAGGAGTCTCACGGTCTCTCCTGCCTGGGCTGGCTTTGAACCGCGATACTCAGATCTCAGCCTCCTGAGTAGCTAGGATTACAGGCGTGAGCCACCAGCGCCCGGCTCTACCTTATTCATTTTTTAAAACTTGGTTGTATGTGTACTTTATGCTCTATTACTATTATTATTGTCACTTTGTATAGTGATATTCCTCTAGGAAACAAGGTTTTGGCTTTAATAGGATAGTCTTTTAAATTACAATTTGATAATTCAGTACTTAAGAATATTAACTCTGATATGAAAATATCATAACCCTAGTTCTACTAGCTACTGTGTGACCATAGGCAGGTGGGTTAGCCTTTCTGTGCCTTACTTTTCACATCTGATGAGTTAAATGAGAAAAATATTATCCTGTATAGTTAAGGTAAATAAATAGTAAGTAAGCGTGAGTTCATACAGCAGGAGTAATGAGTTCATGTAGTATGCTTGAAATAGTTTTCATTGCACAATAAGTATTCAGTGTTACCTATTATTAGCACGATGAAACAGCATGTTGATATATTTCTTATTTCTCTTCTTTTATTAGAGTGTAATTAAGAATTCTTTTATTTGGAGAACTAACTTCAGCCTATTAATATCTTTCAGGACATTCTAAGCTTCCATATACTCAAAGTCAGCATTGATTTTCTGTAATGTATAAATATGTTTCATGTTGATTTCCTCATTTGCTTGTATAATTCTTCAAATTAGACATTATCATCCCTATTTCATGGATAAGTAAACAGGCTCAGTAATGTACGAGGACATGTTCAGGCCCACACAGTCAGCTATGAACTGGGATCAGATTTCTTGACTTCCAAGATTCATTTTTCCATACTATGATACTTTCCTCTGACAGAGTCTTTCCAAATGCCTTTTTTGTGTTCAGAGTTCTTTCAATTCCAGGTTTACTTAAAGGACTAACCAGATGCCATCCAAGGAATACCAAGTTAGTAATGGGAACCATGTAATCAGTGAAGGATATTTAAGGCACATGGGAAGCATAGGCACTTCCTTCCTGAACTATAAAATGTGGTTGGTATACTCAGTCATAGAAATATAAATAGTTCAGTGCCCATATAAAGAAGTGGTGACTAAGAACCAAAAGGAGGCAGCTGACAAGCACCATAAGGAGCGTCCATTCCCCAAGTGAATGTCACAGTCTCATCATCACTTCCCTTGTTTCAGTCAAGTCTCTGTAATGTGTCATCTACCAAGGAAGCCTTCCTTGACCACTCGGTCTTAATGATCTCTTCTCACCCCTTACTAGCTTGCTTTAAATTTTCATTCAGTCTACTTCATCACCCTCATAAGGCTGCCACTCTACCACTTGAACCACAGTTCCATTTCTAACTTTTTGGTGGATAATTGGAGGTAAGTAGCTCATAGACTTATCTGAGCAGGCTGGCTCTGAGCCATGATTCTCAGATCTCAGCCTCTTGAATAGCTAGAATTACAGCATGAGCCACTAGTGACCCAGCTGAGGGACTGTTTTGAATTTTGCCTGGTCTATAGGGACCCAGTGTAGGAGCCCAGTCTAAACCAGTGGCTTTCTGTACCTTTTATTGAGCATGACCAACATTTATACACAGCTGTGGGTAGAACTCCATAGAGGCACATAAAGATTTTTATTGTTATGTATGTGAATAAGTATCTACATTGGACTGTCTAAAGAAAAAAAGTGTGCTAATAATGGAAGCTAGCTGCTATCTGCAAGAGAGAAATCTAGAATGACAGTATTTGGTGACCTTTCTCCCAACATTATTCTAGGGTCAGAGTTTCCTGGCAGGAGAGCATGCATCTACTTGTCCCTCACATTGTGAACGTTTGCTTAAGGACACAAACCATTCAACACCAATTTCATATTCACCAAGCAGCCATATGTTGAGCATATATCCCATATTTATTTACAGGTAGGGCTTATCAGGAAACAAATATGTAAACCACAATACTTACATTGCTCTGAAAATCAATATTTGAATGGTATTAAGGACAATTTTTTTGTCTTCTGAGTCTGACTAAGGGAAATTGCAATTTCCTCTGTGTCTGGAGGTTGTGATTATTCCCTGAGGAAAGACCATTCTATAGGAACTTTCTAGGGGCCTAATCATCTTTCCCCATGACGTCCTTTCTGCTCCAACTTTATCATTGAAGTCCTGTTAATTAGGATTCTTTCTATTATTATAGATTAATGTACTTTAGTAGATTTCCAGGAGAAACATAGAAGACACTGTTAAATGCATGCAGGATGACTCAGAGTCGAAAAGTGTTATGAATGGACAGAATCTGCATGATAAAAATGTTATAAATACTGTTTAACTGGTGCCACTTCAAAATTTTCTTATTAAAAAAAAATCCAAATTTTAGCCTTATCCAGAAAAATTTTAGCAGGTTTATTTACAATTATAATACAGTTGAAACATTCACTGAATCATTTTTTTTTAATTGCATTAATGCTTGATACATCAGCCTCTAAGCCCTCATTTTAATTTCAGGATGCAAGAGATCTTATGTAGCCATGACATCGCTTAAAGACATGGAATATGCTCTTAAAATTCTGATCACCCCTATGTGTTTCCAGGAACTAATGGAAAACCATGATTGTAGTTTTATAAAACTAATAAAAATAATGGTAAGAATGTGCCAAACGAGCCTATTATATAGCTTTGAAATGATGCCAAACACTTAGTTTTCAAAGTGAGTGATGTGTGTTTTGCTGTG